AACATTCAAATGCTCATTTAATGCTTTCGGACCAAGCAATTTGGAATGAGCAAAATCTTATATTCTTGTATCTTGATTCTGACTGTAAATTTGGCCCGTCTCCTGCACATCAAAAAGAAAAACCTCCTTCAGACCATATTTAGTGTTGGTGGTGTGCATCAGGAAAAGCATGGCTGGGATACTGTGTTGTTTACCTCTGAATATTGGCTCTCTGGTGAGAGCTGGGTGCCGAGGCTGCAGTTGAGCTTCCAACAAAGTACTGATGTGGTTAGGAAAGGACTGGCTGTCTGGCAGGGAGGTGTGTGTCAGCTCAGCTGGCTCCACACTGATGTGGTTGTCATCGTCACACACCCATTCCTCACAGCAGCCGGTATCAGGCCGGGCCAGACGGGGCCGCGAGCAGCGCCAGTCAGGCAGGGGCACTTGGTGAGGACAGAGGGCCATGCAGCCCACTACCCCATCCATACAGGTGCACTGGTGCTGGCAGCTGGGCTGAAAGTTCTCACAATGCTGGTACACCCGGCCACTGAACTCACAGGGCAAACCCTGGGCCTCAGCTGTCAACACACACACACACACACACACACACACAGAAAACAGGAAACAGTGCTGTGAAGAGAGACATTTGAACTTCATACAAGGACACAGTAGAAAGCCTGTCTGTAGACAAAAACAACTAATACATAAGAGCCTGTAAGAACAAAGTGGGGAAAGAAATATACTCTCTAAGCCTAAATAATTCATGATGTCATGCTTTTTAATGAGTTATGCAAGTGGTTTTGTATTGTAGTTCCATATTTAAAAAGAATGGACAATATTTGTTCAACAGAGGCAAAAAAAAACCCAACAAAAAAATCTGTTTTTCAGTCGCTGATGTAAGTCAGTCTGACTACCATAAAGCTACTTCACATTTCGTTTGTTAGACCCTCACTAGCCTGGAAACTTCATACATCCTTAAAACACCACACCTCCTGTTTATCATGCAGATTTTCTGGCTAAGACATCTAATGACATTATATGGTTGTTTTCTTAGACTCACCTCCTGCAGACCCACACAAAACCCTCCTAAAAACTTTTGCACAAGCTCAGAAGTACTTCCCAGTAGAACTACAAGTAAAGTGATCATCATTTGTAAAATCATTAGAGTGCTCCCTTAATATGTACCTTTTTTGTTTACAGTGGTTATTTGCCTTGTGATTTATACTGGTAACCAGTGTTTTTTTTTCCAAATAAAAAGCAAGTAAGATCAATCTAGTCCAGCTGTCACAAACTTTTTAGGTTGTGTGTTTTTGATTGTTTTATTTGAGGGGTTTTGATAGCCTTGCAGGAATAGTGCAGTTCTTCAGAAAAAAAGAGAAAAGTCAGAAAAAAATAAACGAAATTTAGCGTAACATAAGTTTTGTTATTGTTGTTATCCCATTCATTTTTAAGAGCCCCCTTTATACTGTTCCTAAATCTTGTTATTTGATCCATCCAACCAGCTAGCAATAGTTTGTTACATTGAATGTTCCATATTTTTCACTTTTATTCACTCTTCATTGTTCACTACATGCAGAATTTCTTTTTCAAAATATGCACAACATCTAATATCTAATACTATTTGTGATTTAAACCCAAAGTTGTTTCATTGTAACATCTACATATGACAGTAAATATGTAGTTGCTGATGACTTATGTTTCGTTAGTGAAGTTCAATAACATGCTTATGCTCAGCCTTGTTGTCATCCCCACCTCGACACAGTCCTCTCTTGGGATCCCCTCCAGCCCCCAGATGGCAGCGTAGCCCCTTGATGTGATCGCAAGGTTCAGTGGCACTGCAGTCTTCATTGAATTGCCTAGCACAAACTTTACAGCAGCCGCAGTGGTCGGTCACCCAGCTGACACCCAGGGGGCACAATGGGGGCGAGGGGGCGCAGGAGCACTCAGCTGGGCACTCACCTTCTGCAGCCTGGGTCAAGATCAAACGTCAGGTCAAGATACGTGACAGTGTTTAGTGTCATTTTAAAACATAATAAATGAAAACAATAAGATGACAGTAAAGTCACTATTAGCTGCACTGACTAATATGAAACTTTACAAGCAAAAGTGACTACAGAGAACCACAGCTCAGAGCAACTCACCATCACTGAAGTGCAACCAAGCACAAAAAGGGTGGAAATGATTTGTTGCAAAGTGAAAAGACTAAGCATCCTGATCACAACACTTAAACAAAAAGAGAAAGCTGGTAAAACCTTCCAAAGGAATACAAATGTGTAGAAGTTAAAAGCTATACAGATCAACTGTCCAGAGTCCCAAGAGGAAAGAAATCTTCTTAGTCAGCTCTAGGATGAAAATGTATCCACAGTTCAGAGTCTGTGCACTGAGAGGTACACCGGTCTGCTCTTTGGCTCTCCTGTAGTATCTTGGTTTAGGCACAGTTCAGCACAGCTCAGCTCTACCTCATAGGGAGGATTCCCTGTGAGGGGCCTGTACTTATACACACACATGCCTCCGCCCCCACTGCAGTATAATCGACTCTCCTCTCACCGTGGCCAGAGGGAGGACATAGCGAGGTTGCCGCTCTGAAATACCAACAAATTGCTGTGTAACTGTGGATGTGAGACCTCAGGGAGAAATCTCAAGGTGTCAAAATGTATGCAAGACAAATCTTTAATAACTGAGAGCAACTGGTATTTCCAGGCAACCAAACAATGATTCAGATATATTGTACTATGGTTTAAGGGTAACCCTAACCCTCCCTCACGTACCCATGGGTCTTAGGTCAGGTCATATTTGACAGATGTTTTCAAGAAAACAGAGGTGGGTCAGGTGTAATGGAAAACTTTGTTAGGGAATCCCACTCCATCTGGGGAGGGTCTTTAACAAAGGAAGTGGTGATGTGGAGAAAATCCCTGTGAACTGCTTTTCACCAGGTCTGTCCCTTCCATTGCGATGTGCTGTGCTCAGGACATCCTGTGCTCCCTCCATCTCTTTCCTAACTGGCTGCACTCCAGGAAATACAGGCTTATCCCCAGGTTCCCATGATTGGTAGGAAAAACTCTGCATTCTCATTGTGATCCCACAGGCACATAAAAAGTGTTTTGTTGGAAAGCGGGAAGGTCCTCACATTAAGTGTTGGCTCGTGCTGTCATGAAACATGGGAAATGTAATTTGGGAAGTTTGATAAGGGTGCTGAAGGTTCCCCCCCCACAACTGAAAACAGTGAGGATACAGTCTGCTGAGAGAAACTACAGAGAATGTATGAAGGGGGAAACTAATTTACAATGGAACTCATAAAGATTATTATATTGGAAAAAATGTATGTTACATAATCATAATAATTACTGAAAACAGTTTAACAATAGTTTTCTATTGAAACCTTGACTAGAACAGACCCTTGTGTGAAATCTACAGAACTGGTTCTTAGTCTAGGGTTGGTCCATGGAGCCCAAAGAAAAATCTGCGGGGTCAACAAATGATTACCATGATTGTGATGGGTTTTGTAAACTAAATTTATATTCACTGCTTACCACCAAACTGCACTGTTCTTGAATTCTTGGTCATACTGAATGCTTTTCACTCCTCTAAAATCAGCAACTGATCTTGAAAAACTCTGAAACCTTCATGGTCATATCTGCTAGCTACCAGTCTTTGTCTTGTTGGTGGGTTACTACACTTCTTGGCATGTTACTGCCACCAACTGTTGATCAGTAGTTTAGCACAAAGCTGTCTACAGGACTGCGTATAGTGTTATATGTACAGAAATAAAAGAACTTATCCCTACAGTGAGGGGATCCTTGGCCTTCAGTCGGACCTGGCACCTCATTTACGTATGAAGACATTGAATATATGAATAACATATAAAAAGTCCAAGGTATAATACTTTTTGTACAACTAGCCTTCAGTTAGAATAATTAAATACAGTAAAAACAGGCAGTTAGGCTAAATATGTCAAAACATAACAAGCTCTTGAAGGTCACACTGGGTCAGGCGCACATTTTGTATAACGTCATTTTAGCCATGGGGCAAAAATGCAAAATAAACAGACGAATTAACTAAAGTATTTTAAGTCGCAGCAGGGTGAAGCTAGTCAGAAACCAGAAGATAAACAGGCCAAGCTGGACCCAGTTATAAAACCTACAACTGTTAATGAAAAGGTTAGTACAAGCCAGTCTGATGCTGAGGGCATGGATTTCAAAAGAACTGAAGCAAAGCATGGAATAACATGAATGAGGACTCCTGCTCCATGACTGTGTTATGGGCTGGTTTAAATAGCTGAAAGTAAGAACATGTTTATTTAATGTGGCTGTATTATATAGTCTCTGGTTTGCTTTAAATTTGTTGCTGTAATACTCTGAATACAATGTTAAAATGTTCTGGAGTAATATGGCCCGTTGCTAGTTACTGAATGGATTAGAGGCCGTAGCCTTGCACTCCTAATCTAGCATTAACTGCGCTTGAAACTGATAACTTGCACTTGCAAATGTATTTTCTTATGTGATTTACTGGTCGCTACAGACACACAACAAGCAACATTTTGTCCCTAAGCAGCTCCCTTAATACGGAAACTACTCAAATGCACCGGTCATTGAGGAAATTTCTTCATACTGGGACCTCCTCTCCCCACATTGACATGCCGGGTCTGTCACAAAGTGATATTTGGGGTCTTTATAACTTACAAATTAAGCAGAGTTCAGAGAATTGTAGAATCAATGCCAAGGTGCACCAAAGCTGTTCTGGTAGTACGTGATAGTTCAAAACTTTACTAAGACACTCTGTGTTGGTTTTTCCTTTCTGTCTGTATTTTTAAGCATTTAGAAAACTGTATTGCTAAGAACAGTTTATAAAATGTTTACAGTGATTAAAAAACACAAATGTAAAATAAAAAAAATGCCAGTTTAAGAGTGGAACTGTTGCCAGGTAGCTCATTAGTGACATTCCCAATCTTAATTCTGCCACAGTGCTTTGGTTGCTTTATTGTGTCATTGTTTCTCCAACTGAGAGAGGAACAACCATCAATGACCCCAACACCAAGAACTATTTGTATTGTTAAACACATCCCAGATGTGGGCTATGTGATGTTATTTATGGTAAAGGGATTCAAAAGAATTATTATTACAACACTGTAGAAGGTAGCAATAGTTTTATGGATTTTAATAAAGAATTTTAATACAGCAATGTTTCATAAGCCCTTACAGATGGTACTGAAGAAGTCATATTTAAAGATGATTAAAAGATGAAAAAGACTAGCCTCAGCCACCCACAGCCCACCCTGGACACCTCATCAAACTTGATTATTTTGCTGGGACCAAACCTGGGGAAGTTGGTCGCCTTACACACAGCTCACTTCCTGAGGGCAGGAGTTATAGCTCCAGACTGAAGCAGTGATGCTACTGTGTGCATAGTAAAGACAACATCAAACCACACAGTGCACAAAGGTAACACAAGTAGCCACCAAAACATTCAGCTGGCTGGTCTGTGAAACCCCAGAAAAGCTGTAGTGGGTGGTTTGCTGGTGTGACATGGGGCATGAGAGGGAGGTAGAGTGAGAGCACCTTGTTGGGCAGCAGTCTGAATTCTTGGCATT